GTGATTTAGACCACTGTGTCTGTGGCTGGAGGTTTAGGATTGTTATCCAGCTAGAAGGTGGACCTCCGACCCGGTCTCAAGTGTTTTTCAGCCTCTAACAGGCTTCCTTCCAGGATTTCCCTGTATTTATCTCCTAGTGATCCCATCAACCCTGACTAGATTCCCTGCCATGCTGAAGAAAAAGTTCCTTTTTGGTGTCATCAGATTGATTCCCTGGTCAATGCTCTTCCTGTCAGTTTGCCTCATGTGCACAACACTCCCTAAAGCTAAACTAAAAGGCTACAGCAGTTTATAAATTACAAGGAGCATTAATATTATAGCCTTTGTGAAGACTAATACAGGTTTGCAGGTTTGTCGTTCTTTTCTATTCTAGGATAATGGATTGAACAGCGGATGGTGAGATGGTTAAATCTTGGTATATTTCTTTATAAACTAAGTGTGCTTTAAACTTCACCACAATCGTATCCCTGATGAGCAAACAAGAGACTCTATCAATCTTAAATGCCTTCACAGAACATCTGCATTTACAGTGAGATAAAATTACACGTAGCTCAATTTCTACTTTGGAAACGCATGACAAGAGTAAAGAGCTAGCAAATGTATCTTATTTTCAGCACAAGTTTGCTTTTTTCATCCACATGTGTTTGTCTGTCATAACAAATCTTAAAGTACATTGAAGTTTGTGTTTGTAACCTGAAAGAATTCAAGAAAGTTTAAGCAATGTTGAACACTCTTCCAATGTGTTAAAAAAGTGCATTCAGCATCTGAACCTGTGCATTCTGCCTGCCTGTGTGCACAAGAACAAAAGTGAAACTTGCTGCCCTCGTTAATTCAAGCTCATTTGTCCCATTTCATGCCAAAACGTCTGCTTTACTGGGAGTCTTTGATCCCGCTGTGACTAACGCAGCACGACATAAAAGGGTAGAAATTATCTTTTTTTTTTCTTTCTAAGCTAATTTATTAATTCAAAGAATAATAAAAGTTCATTCAAACACTTAAGTTCTTTAAGGTAAAGAAGAAAACATTTTCAGTCAAGAAATTTGGTGTAATTCTTATTAACAAGATCTTCACACATCTGACAACAATAAAGTTTTGCTACCTGAAGTGAAACTGAACTCTAACAGATTAACTAGCAATCACTGCTTTCTCTAAATCTTAATGCTTAAATTTATTTGTGATAAGGTTTGTCTCGACTCCTATTACCATTTAAAGCCCTGGAATCCTCATTAAGAAGCCAGACATTTAAGATTTTCAATTGAACCCTCTCTCGCTATTTTATTCTCCCCATAGTCCTACTTAGTATGGTGCCCATCTTGCAGACTGCAGCTTATTTCTATCAAACTGAGACACTTTTGGATTAGTCGATAGGAGCTTAGGGCTGATCAACTAACAGAATATTGACCATAGTGTGCTTCGCAACAGGAAGCTGCACGATTGTTAGCTAAGAATGAGTAGAAGGCTTTAGGATGCCTACCCAACGGAGATCACGGATACTAAAGTAGAAGCTAAATGTAGGCCACACAATCATTTGAAGTAAGAACCAACTAATTTTTTTCTTTCCTGACCAAGAGTCTCCACCGTTGTTGAAGAATAACACAGTAGCATAAGTCAGTATACCAAAATGGACAGTGCCCCAGATAATTTAAGGATCAGTCAATCCTTACAAGGACAGTCGATCACAGAACATCACTGTTTTCACTGAAGCCCAGTTCAGTAGATTTCAACTTTATAAATACAAGACAGAACCCCGGCTGCTCCCAGTGAAACAGGATCACTGTTTCTTGTATATGGATTATTGTATGAATAAATCAAGAGATGGGCCCACAGTAACTAATGCTTTGGAATGTGCAAGAAACAAGAGCAGCACTGGGTTGATTATGGATTGAAGCACACAAGTTGTTATGATATTGTTGTGAGGAAGCATGGTGGACTGGACCCAGTGCTTCACAGTAGGAGCTCTCGTTTGCTTTTGAATCTCAGAACGTATCAAAATAAAATAACATTTTATTAGTTTTTACCTGGTGTTTGTTGTGGCTCTTGCCCAGATATATATTTTTTCAAAATCAAACACTTTTTAGGATATTAAAAACTAGAAACTCTGATGATGCATCTTCAATCTTCTCAAATATGCCTGTTGCACAATGCAAGCACATTTTTATATGTCGCAGACACGAACTTCAACAAATTTTGTTGAGATTCAGAATGACTGATCAGTACAAAACGGCGCATAGCTGTGAAGTGAAAGGATGTGTTTGAAATCTTTTAATATAGAAATCTGACTAGTGGGGCTTGCAATTATTTATCTCTCTTTAATCTGATTATTTGCAGTCAATTGCCTTCAGAACCTAACTACAAAGTAAACAGAGTCCACATGTGTGTAAATTAATCTTAGGATAAATGCCAGTGTCCTGTGAAGCCCTCGGAGGTTCCTTAGAGAACAGCGCTGAACAAAAAGGTTTGAAAATGTCATTGGATACTCTTCAATCAAATGGGAGGAGTACAGAACAAACTGACATATTTTAAAGGGTGCAAAATGTGCAACTTCTTTCAGCTTTATATCCTGTTATAATGTTATTCCCTCAGCAAAAAACATACGAGGGGTGTTAATTTGATTCATTCATGCATTTAAATAAAAATATCCTAGAATTTCCCATGGTAGCCATTTGAGGGTGGCTAAGCGCTTGCTCATTCAATGCGCCGCCTGTTTAGCCAAATCACCGCATTAGCGCTTCAGTCTCCAACCGAGCTCTTGACCCACAGATCACCCCTCGCTGCACCTTCCCCACACAGCTCTACCAGACTAGAGGCAGCAACAATTATCAAACAGCTGGTAGGACGGCACATTTGCTGAGCTCTTCACACAAAAAACAATGTTGCTAAGAACAACTGTAAATGGCATCACGGAGTGTTGCAATGATGTGCTGAAGGGGAAGTGCCAGAAACTGCACTGACTTCTTAAAGACACAGAGGCCAATTTCAAGGCATCAGATACAGCTAAATGCAAATTCAAATTTATTTTGTTATATAAAGCATTTTCATAACAACTGATCATAGAATAGTTTCTTGAATGTACAATAGAATGGCACGATGTTCTAGAAAATGCAACCCCATGACCTCCATTTCCTCTTTTAGTCACAGTTGTCCATCTAAAACCAATATGCCAGGCAAGGAGAGCATTGATCAGAGAAGCGTGTAAGAGCCCCATGGTAACTCTGGATGTGCTGCAGAGATCTATAATTCAGGTGGGAGACTACACTGGGCAGTGTCAACAGCACAAATGCTGTTGAAAGAAAGTCTGATGAATACCTCTTTGGTACAATACATGTAGGGGACAGACAAATTGTGGGAAAAGCTGTCCTGGTTAGATGAGACCAAAAAGTAACTAATTAAGAATTCCCTACATGCAAATGTTACGTGTAGCAAAGGAAAATTGGACAGCCTGGCTAGTCCAGTGAGACTAGCTTATGCATGGAATGTCATAAGCTTTGAAATGGAGGCTGGGCAGCGGCACTGTTAGCAGGACAAGGTTTACAGCTCAGCTGACCATCAGAATCCAGCTGAAGGTACTAGAGAGCTTACAGCTATGCACTGCCCAAACAACAAAGCCGGGGATCTGTTGTGACATACCTTGATACTGTGATGAATTTCTAATTGATGTAATACACTAACACGCATTATCACCAACCATAAGTAAGTACCACAGTTTGTTATATTGTCCTATTGTAAATGGCTACTTGTATAGCACTCTGTCAAATTCAAAATCATTCTTGTACCATTAATACACACAATCACAAGCCAATCATGATAAGCTAATGGATTATAGTCACAGGACATTGAACCAACATTGCAGATTCAACGCAGAATGATGGACTGACATTACTGTTAACCAACGAATCACCAATGACATCTTCGGGATGTGGAGTGCATATTTTATAAAAATGACAACTCTTATTACTACTTCAAAATCAGAAGACAGACTCGCTTCTAAACAGCACCTACAGTATGTCAGACATTTGGTTTCACAGCCCGTTTAATTGCCACCAAGAGGAGTTTGTAAAGGATTCAGCGTCACTAACAATAAGTCATCAGCTGAGCAGGGGTTTGTCACAATCATTTTTAATGAGACTGGCAGTCATCTATGTGTCTCTGTAGGTGAGTGCCTCCACTGATTGGCCTCTGATGAGGCAGCAGGGCAGTAGGTTGGCACCGAAAATGTGATTTCTGGCTCTTTGCTGTGATACTTATTGGTCTAATGTCTAAAAACACTGCATCGCCAAGTTCAGATTGAAACAGAGATTAAGGCTTAAGGAGCTATAGAAGGAATATTAACAATAAGATGAAATAAGAACTTTTTTGTGCATAATCTGTCAGATGCCTCCCATAAAAAAAAAACCACACACATAAACATGTTAGGTGGTCTGTGCCAATGTTGTCTTCATTTCCCCATAATTTTCTATAATTCAATACTGATTTTAAGTGTGCGTGTTTAAAAGAAAAGGAAAGAAAAGAAGTTTGAAGGGTTGAAAGATTGAAAGAATTATGCCCTCTTAATCACCTTCTTTTTGTTGCACATTATTAAATATTTAAAAAAAAAAATTTATCTAACACCGTTTGAAAATGTGACAAGCGGTAAAGTTTTAAAAGTCGCTTCTCAAACAAAGAGAAAAACAAACAGCTATTTACAGTTGAAAGACAGATAGGCTTAAACAAAGGCTTATGATTTATTTGAACATCTTCCAAATGCCATGCCAAAGTTTTCTACATGAAAAGCTTCCATTTGACAACACATTACCATTCTGCTTTGTTTTCTGTTCCTTTTGTTTAAGCAAAGAAGATTAAGCCAATTTTCAGAACTGTATCTAAAATGAAAAGTGCTAAATCCTTCCACTGCTGTACTTTTTCCAAATTTAAATGCTACCGTTTTGTGCTTTTTAAACTCTGAAGAATTTAAACATGTTGTTTCTCTTACTAGGTTGAAAATCAAAAAATACTGTACTCACCACAGTCCTCAAGTCATACTCCTTCACCAAATCCAGGGAGTTTTTATAGCAGGAGGTAAGATCTTGTATCTCTTTATCGCCAACATGACCTCTAGCCACTGGACCTACAGTGTGGATCACATCTGTTGGAGGAAGAGCAAATATTTTCTGTAACAATAGCCAACACCAATCATAAAAGAAAAGTTGGGAGTTTTTTGTGTGACAGTAGAATTTACAACTGAAGCCGTTCTTTCAACAAACCACATCTCGTATCGGATGTGACCTGAGTTTGAGACATTTTGGGAAGAAGAATTGGCAAAAGATTTCATCCTTTAAATGTGCAAATTAGTAGAGACATCCCCAACAGACTTGCGGTTGTAATCAACTTTGTGTTGTCTGTTATTTAAAATTCCAATAAAATCCACTGCGATTTGTAGCTATAACAATGGGTATTAAGTGTTTTTGAAAAAACCCTACATAGCAGCTGGACAGCTGAGCTTGAGGTTTAAGAATCTATAAGACCATCAAAATAAATGATAAGATAATAAAGTTTGTCCTCGCAATGAGACGATCACTCATGTAGACAATTTAAGCAACTCTGCCTCAAAAGACTGCATTAATTCAGATGCTTTGATAGGAAATCAATTACAGATTCTTTCATGCCATCTTCTCAATTATTGATGTCTCCACGTACTCTTTTCCCCTCACAAAGTAATATCTTCACCTGTCAGTCACTGGCTGCATTACTGGCTTGGCCGGTTTGAGGAACGCAGCTGCTTAATTGAATCACAGGCGTGATGACAGGAAAATAAGACAGTCGAAACGGTGACTTGACAGAAGTGTAATCTTCTGCATTCTGCCTTGCAACGTTGGCATTGTCGGTGTCGGACAGGTCGGGTCAATGTCATTAAAAAAAAAAAGTATTCTGCAACAAGCGTAAATCACAGCAGAACTTCCCCCCATCAAAATTACAACACAACTCGTACTCCCATTTGGTACCCATATGTTGCAGTATTCATCCAAACCCACTTTTCTGTAAACAAACCTACACATCTACTCTACCACTTACCATTTTCTTTATGTAGTTTCTCTAAGTGTATTGATGATTTGAGGACATTAAAAAAAAAGCATAATTTTATATCTAAAGCATGACTTGTCTTGTTGTACATTAGTTTCTGCCTCTTTCCCAGTGAACGATGGGCACTAGGCTCTGTAAGGTTCAGCAGGTACAGACAACAGATTTATGGATGGATATTTGTTTATGAAGACTTTTTAATCAGTAGAGATCCACAAATTATTCTTCTGATCTCATTTTGGATGCACTGAATCCTCATATATGATGCTTATTAAACTTAATCAAAATTACTCTGAGTGACTCCTACTATTAGATATGATTTATTGTAGTCAAATAAGTACGTTTCCTACCCATAGACAGTCAGTAGATTACAGTAAACTATATAGGACAGGTACAAATTGACACATGGTCTCAACAAACTGTTCAAGTGGCAATAGCTGTTTCTTATGCCCAACGTTTTTTGGGTCTGAAAAGACGAAACCTGCAAAAGGCACTCAAACTCAACCGTTTGTAGTCAGTATTTGATTGTGAACCATAATTCATGTGTCTGTATTTTTGTGGGTATTATCCATCTTAGTCAAAAGGGGATTTCATTTCCAAATGTAAAACAGCATCTAACTTAACAACCTGGTAAATCTCACCACATGTTGAATTAAATGTAGATCAACTCTCGTCCATACTTTTGCATGTTAATGCATCGACCTGTGCTGTTTTTGCTACTGCAATATTGAATGCAACAGAATTTAGATCTGGTTCAGGTGAGGTTATTCATGGCAAGCCCTGCAGTCATCTTATGTGTGCTTGTACATTAACTTACCCATTTATATTTCATACGAAACACAAACTGTTTTCACTGCCAATGTAAGCAACTGTAAAGCGGCTCTCACCATTTCGAATAACACCAAAGGCTACACATTATATTCAGCTCTTTTTTTGTTGTTTTCTAGGGGCCATGAGGACAAAATGCAATGACTGTCGTGTTGCTTTCAGGGTAAGATTTTGTTTCGGCGAGAGGTAAAACAACAAGAAGGGCTTGAGGCATTCCAAGATGAGTCATTACAGGAAGGGAGCCGTCTGTTTCATTTTCTTTCTTTTTTTTTCCACAATAGCAGGTGGAAAACTGGCACAACATTGTTATAATGGGACAAGTGGTAAGTTGTTTTTCCTGCATATTTCATGTACTTCTACACTACAAAAAAGGCAATATGCCAATTAGAGAGTGGACAAGTGCCAAAAACCAGAGTACTAGTGAATTCATGAAAATTTAAACACCTTTGGTTGTTGCCACAAAAACTCCTCTTGGTTTTTTTTTTTTTTTTTTTTTCTTAAGCAATTTTACGTTAAATAAATATTTATACAGCCTTGTATCAAGGGAGGGCTTCCAAAGAAGGGACAGTCAGTCTACTAGTCCTGTGAAAGGTTCTTTAGGATCTTTGTAAAGATCCAGAAGGAATTACATTCCAACCTGTAGGAAAAATTAATAAAAATATTTGTCATTCATATAAAAAAAAAACAAGACTATTTCATATCTCTAATGGTCAATGCTCTATTCAAAAATAGTAAATACAATATTGATGAGCACCTAAATTTAATGACATTTTCCTTGGTAGATCTCCTTAATCAAGACCACATTTTGTCAAAAAAAGTCAAAGGATATTGGATGTTTTTGTTATTAAACACCGTTAAACTGTTCTGATTTGCATGATGGTGTCATGCCACAGTGTTGGTATCGTGTAGTAGTGGTTATCACTATTACAAAACATGCACATGGGGTTAATTTTTTATTTTAAACTGGCTGCAGGAGTGAGTGTGTGACTCTATCTCTTTTGTGTGTCCATGTTATAAACCGGTGGTCTGTTCAGGGCGTACCCCCGCCTTCAGCTCAGGGACAGCTGGGATAGGCTCCAACCTCCCTCATGTCCCTGAACATCCAGCTTACCTGGAAAATAAATGAATATAATTACCCAACTTCCTCACATTTATTCCCACCGAGGATCCCCTCACAGTATTTAAAAAAGAAATGTTCAGCTTTATTATGTTTTTTTTTATTTTGCTTTGCTATAGTGAGTTACAGACTGGATTGCTGTAACTCACTATATCTGGGAGTCGGTCAGTCGCTGCTCTCACATCTGCAGCTGGTTCAGAATGCTGCTGCACGACTTTTGACAGGAACTCGAAAGAGAGAGCATGTGACCCCTGTCCTGGCCTCACTTCACTGGCTGCCTGTATATTTTAGGATTCATTTTAAAATTATTATGTTTGTTTTTAAATCACTGCATAATCTTGCCACGGCTGACCTCTCTGAGCTTCTTCACCACTATATACCCTATCGGTCTCTCAGGTCCGCAGATCAGCTGAGATCAAGAAGGAAGCTCAAAGGGGACAGAGCTTTCTCTGTCATGGGTCCTAAGTTGTGGAATGACTTGCCTTTGCACGTTAGAGAGGCCCCTTCCACTGTCCACTTTTAAAGCTCGTCTTAAAACCCATCTATTTTACTTGGCTTTCAACTCCAGCAGGATCTAGTTTTAAATTATATGTTTGTTTTTAAACTGTAAGAGTTTTTATTTTTTTTTTATTGTTATATTGTGTTTTAATGTACAGCACTTTGTATCAGCTGTGGTTGTTTTAAAGTGCTTTATAAATAAAGTTGGTATGGTATGGTAGTAATTGTTTTGTCTACTATTTTTATTAGACATTTGGCAGCTTTACCTATGCTTGTGAAAGATAAGCTTTTGGAACAGGCATTTAGTAAAATATACTTCTAGGATTATTGAGTATAAATTGAGTCCAAAGTTTATTGTACTGCAAGCCTGGATAACCATTCCTGAGGAGACTTCATCATACAAGAACAAAGTATGTATTTATGTAGTTTTATTACATCATGCCTTTCACTTTTCATTAAAAGCTAAAAAGTTCTCATCTATTGTCAATTATGTTGGTTTATTGACATGTTTGTTATCCTGGTGTGAGCAGTAGTATCTTTGGAGTGTATGTGTGGCTTTGATGCACTTCAATACCAAAAGTTAGGAATTAAAAACGTAAAGATCTGTAACATTTGTGTTTTACCAGCTAATTTGTTCAGTTTGCTTATGCAGTACACCTGTAAACTTATACATTTTCTTCATGATGATGTAAAAACAGAATCCCAGTGGCTCCTCAGGCAAATTCTAGCATGACAAAATATGACATAAGGTTAAACTATTTCAGCATCCAGCTTTAAAATGTCAAATGCTCCAGTTCATGTTAAGTGTTTGCTGGCATTTAGCAGCTGAACTGTAAAGGGGATTGTGAATATCAAATGTGGAATACTAGTACATTCTTAACCGTAAAAGGCTAGGACAAGAAGGGGGACTTTTTTATTTTTTCTTTCAAAATGATAGAGACATCCCCAGTGGAAAGTGATTTTCTACTTGGACAGGACAGACTGGACACTGAATGACCCCTTAATATACCAGCTGCAGAGCATGTGTGAGAACATCTTAGACAAGCCTACTAAAATATTCCTCCGCTCCTCCCAGAGCTGAGGAATAACTACCAAGGGGACATGCTCACTTCAAAGACGCCACTTTCTTCGCAGCTAAAAAATCTTCTGAAATATCTAGACTTCATTTAGAAGTGAAGCACTGTGCTATTTCAGGGACGGGATGAACACTTCAGAGTCTAATCAATCTTTCATTTTTACTTGCCGTTTCTGACTTTGAGGCTGTGTTACCATTTCTCATCATGACAATCCTAAAGAGCTCCAAAAGCTTGCACTTTTCCCCCACCACCAAAATTATCCTACAATGCTATTTGTGACACAACTGGTTGCATACTGGACATTGTTATTTTATATTTGCAAGTCTTAAAAAGATTTGCAAAGAACATACTTTAACTACCTCTGAACACCTAAGTCTAAATGAATTGTGAACTAAATTAGCATTTTGTTTATTTCTTAGAATCTTGTAAGGTAAAAGGAATTTCTAGTTCATACTATATTGTTTTTGATCAAACGGGGTAAAACATCCATGACAAAGTGATATTGAAAAACAATGGGAATGTTTCAAGAAAGATGAACATGCAGAAAAC